AAACAATGAAAAGTTGGGCTGGCAAATAAAACTATTTTGTTATTCAAAATTAGGTCCAATCAATATCTAACATTACTCACATAATGGGGCACTAAAATGAAAATGGAGGCCAGCAGAGGATTTTATTATGAGGGTTTTTTTCTTTCCTCCAGTATGCAATTTTACAGGCTGTATTTCCAAGGTAAATAGCAGTTTCAGTACATGTATACATATGTGTATGCTTGTCAGGTTGTTTGAGATAGAAAGAATGGGATTTTTTTGTTGACACCCTGGCAGAGAAAGAATGTGTTAAATTCCATAAATCGTATGCTCAGCACTCACGTTTGCTCTAAATACAGCGCTTAAACATTGCACAATACCTGCCTATCTTTTCATTGGTATCTGCTAAAGCCATTCCAGTCTACAGTAGTGACTTGCCTCTGACTCTCCTCAGTTACTAAAATGCCTCCCCTCCTCATTAAATCAAGTCAAAACCACCTCTTCTGTTTAGAGATTCTGAGAACAAAATGAATTCCTTATCAATTTTTGGATTGATAATTTAACTTCCTTGTTTCTCAAGGTATAAATCAAAGGGTTCAGTAGAGGGGTCAGAAAGACATAAACGGTTGAGATCAATGTGTCTTGATCTAGTGAAGAAGCTGCCTTAGGCCTCAGATACACAAAACAAGCACAGCTGAAGTGGGTGATCACCACAGTGAGATGGGAGGCACAGGTTGAGAAAGCTTTTCTCCTTCTCAAACTGGAGCAGATCCTTAGGATAGCAGAAATAATATAGAAGTATGAAATAGAGATCAATAGGACAGTGCCCAGCAAAACAAGGGCACATAAAAGAACTATCCCCAGATTAGTTAGGTAAGTATCAATGCAAGTCAGACTCAGCACGGGTGAAATATCACAGAAGAAATGTTGGATTCTATTTGGCCCACAGAAAGGCAACCTGAAAATAAGGATGCAAATAACTAGGGATATAAAGCATCCGGTTACACAAGATGCAGCTACTAGTTTGATGCAAACCCTTTTCTCCATCAGCACCTGGTACTGAAGTGGGTAGCAAATTGCTGCATATCGGTCATAAGACATAGCGACTAACAAGAAACAGTTGTTGGCTCCCAAACTAAAGAAGCAAAACATCTGCGTAGCACATCCAACCAAGGAAATGGACTGTCTGCCAGTCCACAGAGTCATTAGCAGTTTGGGGATGGTGACAAATGTGGTACAAGTTTCTGAGACAGATAATGCAAAAAGTAAAAAGTACATTGGACAATGTAGAGTCCGGTCTAGCAATATGACTGACATGATAGTGATGTTGAAGGCCAGAATGGTGCCATAGGTGAGGGAGAAAATCAGGAAAAGTAAAGTTGGTGTCTTTCCAAGGATGGAAAAGCCCAGCAAGAGAAAATCATTCACGGAGCTGTCATTGCTATTATTCATACTGGATGTAAAATTATCAGCCCTAAAAGGATAAGATGGGGAAGATTTATAAGCTATGAGATGATCCCTCAACTTCAGATGTACCCAAATTTAATCTGTTGCTTCAATTTAGGGGCTTCCTAGAAAAGGCAAGCCTGCATGAAACAGGCACCCCACTACACGTCAGCAGGGACATTGGGTATAATAACTTTCCTTGTCTAGAAAATAATATAAGACACTGAGCAACATACAGATGGTAGACAATACCATCTCGCCCAAATTCTTCATATTTCCTATTCAGCTACTAACCCTAGCCATCCATTTATAACATCAGTGCTTTAGTTATTTATGCAATTTTGCACCCCATTTTTTTTCCTGAATTTGAGGGGCACAATGAAAACAACATGATGAAGCTGAGCCCACCTTATACTAATTTCTCTCTTTTCAGGCTTTTAAAATGTAAACCTGGTGACAAAGTGATGCTTCCTGTTCATTGGCATCAGTGCCACTGACCTCCATCCTGAAAAGATCCCTGGTTCTCCACTGCTTCTCAGATGGCTTCTGTTTCTCTATCAGGCTTGATGAAATAACCCTTCCCAATTTGTCAGTGGCATTTTTGACTTGATCACTGAAACAGGAATAAAGGGGATAGATAGATCCATCCACAAGAGCATATAGAGGCTGATGCTGTTATGGCCGAGCTGATCTTTACCCTCAAAGAAACAGATTTATTTACAAGAATACAAACCTGTATTCAGTTTTATTATTGTTGTCCACAGAGGCACTGGCTCACTTTGGGAATATGTTCCCCTGATAATGTAGGTGATTCACATTAGGAACAAGTCTTTTAATTTGGAAAGCCTGGTTTTGGGTTGAAGTTTTCTTCTTTGTTGGGCAAAATATTATGGTATATTCCCTCATTTTCTGATTTTAAATGAGTCAGAGAGTCTAGTCTCCTCTGAGCAAAGCAAATGAGTCACTTAATAGTCTTTTTAGCAAGCAGAACAGATGCTATAAACTAAAGGAACCAGCACTGATGTTGATTTCATTATTTGTTTATTGAAAAGATGGATTCGATTCCAAGGGTTTGACAATGAATATAGGACAAAAATAATAAACAAAACAAAACATCAGCAATACATTGAAACATTAAAATTAAGAATATATATCAAGCCAAGACATTTCTTCCTCAAAGATAGGCTTCAGTTTAGCTTCATTGTGACTGGAAGCAAAGTGCTTCAGAGCATCCAGGAGCATGAAGATATCACTTTTCTGCAATCCTCAAAGCTGCTGCATCTTTTCCTGAGACCACATGGCAGGTTCAGAGACCAGCCATGCAACTTAGGGAAAATGTGCAGCAACTTTCAGAGGTTGCAGAAAAGTGCTACATTTATGCTCCTGCATGCTCCAAGCCATTTTTTGCAGAATGTATCCAGAGTGCTGCAGAGGATGTGAGAACTGAAGCAAGCACGGAGGCCTTTGGTGAGGGAGAGCGAGACCCCTCGCTTCATTGCTCTTGCCATATTTTGTCTTCATCTTTTATCTTTTATTGTAATTTCTTTGTTTGATTTTTGTGAGACACCCAGAGTCATTGTGAGTTGGGCAGTATACAAGTTTAATAAATCAGCAGCAGCAGCAGCTAAAGGTCCTCATAGCTGGCATCAAGCATATATAGCATATACATATCAAGCATATAGGACGTTTTGTCCTTTTAATTTTAATGACCTTTTGTATTTTTTTTATTATTATTATTATTATTATTATTATTATTATTATACACAACAATGTGAAATCACAGCTG